TATAGACAGCTATACCTTTTGGAAAAAGATGGGGGCGTCCTGCATATGAGCAATAAGATTTCTGAATTTTATTTTCAACATTGTGGTCAAATAGGGTTCAGAAAGGTTTTTTTTATCATTTGTTCTTAGAACTTCTGGAACTATATCTAAACAGTCGTTTTCTCATCTGTTGCATGATGTTTTGAATTGTAACTGTTTTGTAGAACTGCGTTAAGATAATAGAGTTTCCATTTGCATATCCTGCTGGTCCAACCAGGAGTCGAAAAAGGTAATTTTACAAAGTTAGCAAACAAATAAAAACGATTCCCAAGACTCCTTTTACATTTGATGCAGTAGCCAAATCTTTTGCAAGGTGATTCGCGATATACTCTTACCCTCCTCTTTCCTTAGGGAAAATAAAGGATCTAAAAATGATGGTTTTTATTAGGTCACCTGAGTAAACTCAGATGACCTATTGCTTTCTGTTTTCGTCCGTCGTCGTGCGTCGTGCGTTGTGCGTTGTGCGTTAACATTTGAACATTTTTAGCTTCTTCTCTGCAACCACTGAACCAATTTCAACCAAATTTGGCCTGAAGCATCTATGGGTGAAGGGGAACAAAAATTGTGAATTTCATGATCCCTGCCCCCATGGGACCTGAGGGGTGGGGCCAAAACCACTAAAATTAATGCAATCTTTAAAAATCTTCTTCTTTACTCCTGGACATCAAGCAGTCAAACTGTTTGCATGATTGTAATTAGCAATGAGTCCTCTACCAAAATTGTGAAATTCATGGCCCTGGGGTCAGGGGTTCTAGTGCTAGGGCGGGGCTAAATAAGTAGGTAGTGAAAATGCATTATTTTTTTGAAAATCTGCTCTGCTCCTGGGTATTAAATAAACCAACTAAGCACATAGTTATGATGAGCAAGAATGTCACTACCAAAATTGTGAATTTTATGGCCCCAGGGTCAGGGGTTCTGGTGTTTAGGGCGGGGCTCTATTGATTATATAGTGAAAATACATGAATTCTTTGAAAATCTTCTTCTCTGCTCCTGGGTATTAAATAAACTAACTAAGTGCATAGTTATGATGAGCAAGAGTGCCTCTACCAAAATTGTGAATTTTATAACCCCAGGGTCAGGGGTTCTGGTGTTAGGGCGGGGCTCTATAGATTATATAGTGAAAATACATGAATTCTCATGCTCCTGGGTATTAAATAAACCAACTAAGTACATAGTTATGATGAGCAAGAGTGCCTCTACCAAAATTGTAAATTTTATGGCCCCAGGGTCAGGGGTTCTAGTGTTAGGGCGGGGCTCTATAGATTATATAGTGAAAATACATGAATTCTCTGAAAATCTTCTTCTCTGCTCCTGGGTATTAAATAGACTAACTAAGTGCATAGTTATGATGAGCAAGAGTGCCTCTACCAAAGTTGTGAATTTGTTTGGCCCCAGGGTCAGGGGTTCTGGTGTTAGGGCGGGGCTCTATTGATTATATAGTGAAAATACATGAATTCTTTGAAAACCTTATTTTCTTCTCCTGGGTATTAAATAAACTATCTAAGTGCATAGTTATGATGAGCAAGAGTGCCTCTACCAAAATTGTGAATTTTATAACCCCAGGATCAGGGGTTCTGGTGTTAGGGCGGGGCTCTATTGATTATATAGTGAAAATACATGAATTCTTTGAAAATCATCTTTTCTTCTCCTGGGTATTAAATAAACTAACTAAGTGCATAGTTATGATGAGCAAAAGTGCCTCTGCCAAAATAATGAATTTTATGGCCCCAGGGTCAGGGGTTCTGGTGTTAGGATGGGACGTATTGATTATATAGTGATCGAAAATACATGTACATGAATTCTTTGAAAATCTTCATCTCTGCTCCTAGGAATTAAATAAACTAACTAAGTACATAGTTATACTGAGCAAGAATGCCTCTTCCAAAATTGTGAATTTTATAGCCCCAGGGTCAGGGGTTCTAGTGTTAGGGCGGGGCTCTATTGATTATATAGTGAAAATACATTAAATCTTTGAAAATTTTCTTCTCTGCTCCAGGGTATTAAGCAGATGAACTACCTATATAGTTATGCTGGACAAGGGCCCATATCTTCCAGAATTGTGAATTTCAAGGCCCCAGGGTCAGGGGTACCATAGAAGGGGGGGGGGCTGTACTTATATACTGAAAGTGAATGAATGGTTTTAAATCTGCTCCTTGGTATTAATCAGATATCAAGGCCTAAGGGTCAGGGGTTCATGTGTGGTAGGGGCACTACTGATTATTGCTGAATATTACTGATTAGTTGAAATGCATTTTTTGTTCCCTTACCCTGCATATGGGTATTAAGTAAACAAACTAAGCAACTGCTAAGTGTATTGTTATGATGATCAATGGTGCCTCTTTCAAAATTGTGAATGCCATAGCATCTGGCTTAAAACATGAATCAAATTCAATCACTGTAAAGTTGTTGCATAATGCTCAGGTGACTTATAAGGCCCATGGGCCTCTTGTTATTTTAAAAAACCTTGATCCTAAAATCTCTCGATCCATTTTACTAATTGGTCAACGAGGATAAGGCATAATGTGAGTGCTTTTCATGGTAAATCTCTGCTGCCTCATTTCTGCACAAAAGTAAATCTTCCATTTTTATTCAAAATTTTTATCACAAAAATTTCAACAAAATTTTGAATGTCTGTTACTTAAAACTCCATACAGTGTAAAAACTGTGTTTTATCTAACAATTTGAATTCCTTTGGGGTCGAGAATAATGAGCTTAAGTCATTTTAGGTGCTTCGTAATGTAAAAGAAAATGAAAATACAAACAAGAGGCCCAAGGGCCACATCGCTCACCTGAGCACATCTACTAGGAAAAAGCACATATCAGATCAAAACTGAAAGTTTACTGGGGGGTGGGGGGCTTGAATTTTAACCCTCCTGGGTGTCATGATTTGAACAATGTAGAATCTACACTACCTGAGGATGATTCCATATAAATAGAAAAATATCCCTAATCATGGCTTTGAAGTACTTGAAAAGAAGATTTTAAAAGGTTCCCCTATATATCCTTATGTACGACTTTGGTCAGCCATTTTGGGCCCAAAACTAGCCCCAGAGGTCATGATTTGAACAAGCTTGAATCTTCACTAACTGAGGATGATTCCACATAAGTTTCGTCTTTCCTGGCCCAAAGGTTCTTGAGAAGAAGATTTTTAAAGTTTTTCCTATATATTCCTATGTAAAACTTTGGTCGGCCATTTTGGCCCCATCCTAGCCACAGGGGTCATGATTTAAACAAACTTGAATCTACAATACCTGAGGATGGTTCCACATGAGTTTCATCTTTTCTGGCATAGTGGTTCTTGAGAAGAAGATTTTTAAAGAATTTTTCTATATATTCCTATGTAAAACTTTGGTCAGCCATTTTGGCCCCACCCTAGCCCCAGGGGTCATGATTTGAACAAACTTGAATCTACACTATCTGAGGATAATTTCATTTAAAAAGTTTCATATTTCCTTTCTCAATGATTCTTAAGAAGAAGATTTTTAAAAGATTTTTCCTATATATTCCTATGTAAAACTTTGGTCGGCCATTTTGGCCCCACCCTAGCCACAGGGGTCATGATTTGAACAAACTTGAATCCACACTACCTGAGGATGATTCCACATGAGTTTCATCTTTCCTTGCCCAGTGGTTCTTAAGAAGAAGAAGAAGATTTTAAAAGATTTGTTCTATGCATTTCCATGTAACTTTGGTCGGCCATTTTGGCCCCACCCTAGCCCCGGGGTCATGATTTGAACAAACTTGAATCTACACTACCTGAGGATGATTCCACATGAGTTTCATTTTTCCAATTCCAGTGGTTCTTGAGAAGAAGATTTTTAAAAGATTTGTTCTATACATTTCTATGTAACTTTGGTCGGCCATTTTGGCCCCACCCTAGCCCCGGGGGTCATGATTTGAACAAACTTGAATCTACACTACCTGAGGATGATTCCACATGAGTTTCATTTTTCCAATTCCAGTGGTTCTTGAGAAGAAGATTTTTAAAAGATTTTTCCTTATATTCCTATGTAAAACTTTGGTCGGCCATTTTGGCCCCACCCTGGCCCCGGGGGTCATGATTTGAACAAACTTGAATCTACACTACCTGAGGATGATTCCACATGAGTTTCATCTTTCCTGGCCAAGTGGTTCTTGAGAAGAAGATTTTTAAAGATTTTTCCTATATATTCCTATGTAAAACTTGGGTCGGCCATTTTGGCCCCACCCTAGCCCCGGGGGTCATGATTTGAACAAACTTGAATCTACACTACCTGAAGATGATTCCACATGAGTTTCATCTTTCCTGGCCCAGTGGTTCTTGAGAAGAAGATTTTTTAAAAATGCTATTAATTTTTCACTAATTCATAATTATCTCCCCTTGGAAGAGGGCGTGACCCTTCATTTGAACAATCTTGAATCCCCTTTACCCAAGGATACTTTGTGCCAAGTTTGGTTGAAATTGGCCCAGTGGTTCTTGAGAAGAAGATGAAAATGTGAAAAGTTTACGACAACGACAACAACGCCAACAACGACAACGCCAACGACAACGACAGACGACGGACAAATTTTGATCAGAAAAGCTCACTTGAGCCTTGGGCTCAGGTGAGCTAAAAAGTATTTAAACAAATAAGAACAGTTTTGTTCCAAGTGAATCAAAATTCAAACTTAACTTGTGGATGATATAAGTTCATGTTATCGTCTTTATAAATAAGTTCTTTTGTTTAGTTTAAATTCTGTGAGTGTCTTATTTTCGGTCTTTTAATGAGTATCCAGCGCCCATTAATTAAAAACCTTGACGAATAGTGAACGAAATTGATTAAGTTTTGAACAGGAAGTCGTCAAAAAAGCGTTTACATTTTTTTTTGTTAAATATGAAACTAGGAACAGAGCAAACAAGGACCTCTAAAACATCAGAGGTTGGATCAGGTGCCATGGAGGACTGGGCATCATCTGACGACAGGTCAGACCCACCATGTCTTTTTACAAGATAATGCACCCCCAGCACCCTTGAGTGGGGTAGTCAGGGGCATAGACTTCTTGTTCCAGTCCATAGATCCAGAAGCATGCTTGCTCGTTCTCCCATAAATAGTGGACTTCTGTCACAGGTACAGCTTGCAACCGTTGTCTCTGTAATAGAAATACTAAAAAATGATATTTAATAACTTATACAGAATATACAACTTTTTTATGGCTCTTTCTAGAATGTACAACTTACAAGAGTGACAGAAATGTCGTTAGAAGAGTCAACGATAGACTATAACTATAAAGTTTTGTAATATTTTGTTCATTTATTTTTAAATAAATGTAGTAGGGCAAAAACATGTTTTAAAAGAATAAGGAATTAAGAAAAGAATGCACATTCGTTTCTACACTGCCAATAAACAGCTCTGCGCACTTGCATGGTTTTTTCGCATAAATTGTTTTTGTTACAATGCGAAAAAAATGATTAACTTAATTTCAATTTTATTTCACTAACTTAAAGCATAATTAATAAATTAAAAATATTTGTAGGACTTTAATTTGTTCTTGCCCAATACATGTATATTATAACAGTTCCGAAATGCATGGCTTTTATGGTTTCTCGCCAATTGCAGCTGCCTTTGTGTCCCTTCTCCCGAAAAAAAACCCTTTTTGCCTTATCTAGACAAAGACACAAAGTCTTGTAACTTGTATTTTCTGTACATTAACATGTCTCCTAAGCGCAAGATCATAACAGCATTTTTAACGTTTTCAAATGCTATCTATGTTAAAAGCTGATCATTCGTTCAGTCTAGAGTTATTTTCTGATATCTATGAGAGATTTGTCCACAGCAAATTTAAAAGTTTCAAATTGTAATCGCCATAGTGCTTTGAAGATAAATTTAAAAAATCTGTCGATTTAACCATTACTAACTAGACGTCAAGCAATTTATCATGGATACTCTGTACCTGCTTTAGAATGTTTCCATTGGGGAAGGCTTCTATATGCTCGTTAACGAGTCTGGTGGAAATAGTATTGACTTCGTGGACTGGATATGATGATATTGGATATACCTTGAATTAAAATACTGTACATGTATATACAGTGTACATTATATCTTTTTTCCTATTAAGATCTCATCGCATTAATTTATTTATCTATCTCTTCACAAATTATAATTGAGGATGCTTTCCCTGTAACTTTTATACAATAACTGTAATTTGAATCCCCCTTCAATTAAAGTGAGAAATGACTCAACATGAACTCTAACTTTACGACAAAAATTTATTAACATCCAAGGTAATTAAGCGGAATTAGATGATCATGATCAGAAATTAATTATAATGTATAATAACTCTTTTTGATGGCACTTACATGTACACTACAGTGTAGCGGCGTATGATACTTCAGAAAAATTGATGTTTTTTATTAACTTTTTAAAATATTATTATTATTTAATCTTTTCTTAATAATCGGATGCTCTTCACAATATATGCTACATGTATAGTTAGAAAAATCTGTTAAATATCCCCATGCTTTGAGACTTCTTGGCTTATTAATGAATTATTTTTAAGGCAAAAGACAGGCCCATTTTACCTGATCTTGAACTTCGTGGATCTGTAAATTTCCATTTACTTTTTTCAATAAGTGCCGTGGCATATCCGAGCAGTCTATTACGTGTCTGGAAATATGATTTTTACTACAAGGAAGGGAAAACATACGGTATTTATACTTTTTTTAATCTAGAAAAGTAATTAAAAATTAAGATTTGTTTTAAAAATTGTCTCTTAAATGAACAATCCTCTCAAAGTTTTGATGAACTAGCTAATTTTGATGGCTGAAATTTTTTTTAAAGAAAACTTAATCAAATTTTTTTTATCTATAAATTGTCTTTATTTCTTTTTACATTTGTTGTGATCTTAATAAATCACCAAGAAAAACTTTGAAATATCAATAATTATAACTTTATTGTTCGATTTGATGAAATTAGTATCAGTAATTACAAAGAAGCACCAACTGAATTCAATAATGCGTATACGCTATATACATAAATCTATCACTTATCTCTGTAAAACACTGCAGATGCTTACAATATAATGGTCATCTCTGTATATGTTTTTATTTCTTTGTAACCCTCACATTCGGTACAGATTTTTTTCCCTGTGCCCAAACATACTTCACATCTGTACAAATTTCAATCAAAACATAAAAGAACACATCCATAAAGCTTTACATAAATTGCATTGAAATCTCAGAGAGAGAGAGAGAGAGAGAGAGAGCGAGGGAGAGAACAAATCAGAATAATACCTTCCTGTTTTAAAGCCTCTACACCACCCACATATGTCCTCGTAGGTCCGACCCACTAGAAAGTCAGAAGCTTTCATGTAACCCGTGCCTGCACAAAAGATACACATCTTTGTACCGCCACCTCCACATTCTGAACAGTTGAAATACCCTCTTGATAAGCAATCCTGACATGACTGTAATAATTTTTAAAATTCCACTTTATTTATGTATCAATATTGCCATTCTCCCATGAATATAGATAACACTTTTAAATGTTTTATTCAGGAAAAAAAGAAATGTAACAGCTTACCTGTATTTTTGCTGATTGAGGAACTTCTATTGTCATGGTATGGTTTTCAAACATGCTGTTTTCTCCACAGTTTATATCATTAGATTGGGTCGAAGAATCATTTACAGGACCACCTTTATAGGGTACGCGCTTTGTTTTCGTTGTTCTATCTTCAGTAAAAGTTTCTAAGCTATACTATAAAATAATAAAAAGCCATCAAAAATGTTAGGGATGCAAGGGTATCAAAATTCATACATAGCAGAGAAAGCAGATGAACAGATTACATACACAAAAGGCAGTATGGCCACTGTGATGAGTGATGGTCATATCTCTGGCTGGTTTTGAACTATAACAACAGGTCTTGGAGGCGAAATCAACCAAAGCTTGTCTGCAGTCCTCTTCAGTAAGATTAGCAATGCTGCCAAAACAATAAGATTAAGGGAATATCAAATATAGGACTAACTTATGAAAAGACTGTTTTAATTTATCTTAAAGAAGTTTTCAGTAAATTTTTTCTATGTATTATAAAAATCTGAATTTGACTCGAAAAATAATTAAAATTAGACCTGATTTTATTATGTTGAATACAATTTCTTCAATTTAATGTATAAAGAATTAAAACAGATAAACATAGTGTATACTCTGTCGACTCTGTTGGGCGTGGATCTTCCGGTGGTGGGGTAAGGGGACGTGAAGGAGGCATGGCTTTTACTGAAAACGATACGGGTTTAAATTAATATCTGATATATCATGATATCTAAGTGATATGAGAATTAGAACCAAGCATGAAATAACACTTTTTTTTCAGTGCCGAAATATATATTTTATGATCTATCATAAGACATTAAGTCTTTTAGAAATGTTAAGAACATTCGTTTCAGTTACTGTATAAAAAAATATATATATCTTAATTGTTACCTGGACAAGAAAGAATATATCTTCGGATTTTCTCTAGACAAACATAGGGGGAATGGTTTTAATCCTCAACTTTTTAAACAAAGATCAGACAATATATCAATATTTTAGTTCATCAGTAGTGTCCAACACATAATTGATGTCTTACATGATGACCACATTGTATTTCTGGTCAAATTCAAAACGAAAATACCAGGTCCATCACACACAAGTTTTTAAAAAATTCCGGATATTTTCATTGCCAATACACAACTCCTTTAACATTTAAAACATGGGCAATTGTAAGGACACGCCACTGATTTTCTGTGGTTAATCAGTTGTTATCATCTATACCAATGCTATACGCAAGTAAACTTTAAATTGTTATACAATACGTAATGGCAATATCACAATGCTCTCCAAAGAGTTATGACCTTTTGGAATTATGTAACATTAAAACTTGTGAGAATAAGCCGGAATACCCGAGTCACTATAATGATAGTGCTATTCTTCATTATTAGATCCCCAAAGCAGTCCCTTTGATTTCATTTTATGGTCTCACACTAGAAGAGGGGTTATTATTTATCTACAATGATCTATTAAGATCAATAAAGAATAAAAGTAAAATATCACATTAGATTGACATTTGATATATATAAGATTTTTTTTCTCCGAGGGGTCTGAGAAAATTTACAATTGTTAGATTTGATTAAGTATATACATGAAGGGATTGCAAAAGAAAAGTAAACTTCAAACTTGGATATAAAAATTTAATGAAAAAGTTAAAATTTTTTGAATAAACACCAACACAAACACACTTTGTTTTACATAAAGCTATAAACAATGAAATTTAATGAAAATACAACACACACCATATTGACAACAAATATAGCTCATGTACATAAATATCATTAGCAAAGATTTTTTTTTACAGTGTTGCAAATATTCAGGTCATTCTAGTTGAGGCTAACAAAGATTTTCCGTGTTTTTACAGAATGTCACAACTACAGCAACACTGATGGGGGAAATTAGGAGCATACACTTTCCTTTCTGTCCCATAGATCCAGTAACGAGAACGTGTATCTCTCAAAGTAAAGTGGACCACAGTAACAGGAACCGCATGCAAACGTTGTCTCTGAAACAGTTTGATAGAAAAATTAATTCGGTCTGTGTTTTGATCTCACTCTAGGTAATTTTCCTACTTTTCATCTTTTAAAAATAGTTGTGGATTTGCAAAACTATGACAATAGATTGTATTTGCTAACAATGTCATTGTATAGACCACAGAATATGCATGTATCATTACGTTTAGCTGTTAGCTTGCCATTAAATATTGTCTTTCTGAAGTATGGTATCTAGATATGAAACGGATGTGTCAGATTCTGTCTTGTATTTCACTCAAATTCAAAGTGATAAGTCGAATCAACTTACAAATGGACATGATTTTTTTTTAATTGATAAAACACCGTCAATATATCTAAATATTGAATCGAGGACAACATGTAGAAACTTTTTAATGCAAAAGTTTTAGATCAATTCTGCTATATATTACATTAAATTTTTGCTCATTATCATGAAGTAAAAATGTTATGAATACCTGTCTAACTATTCTTTCAGTGGGGAAACCCTTTTTATGTTCGTTGACGATTCTAATTGAATTATTATTAATCTCAGGTATCGGGTATGATGTTATTGGAAATACCTAAAATTGAAATTCAAAGGTCGTTAACCCCAAAGAATATCACCATGCTCTCGAAAAGATATTTAAGATATTAAATGTTAACCAAATTAGCTTTGGAATTTGGTTTATAAGATATTCTATAACCTGGTCTAAATCTTGCTCAAACACCACTTTGCCGGTTACTTCTCTCATTAAGTGACCTGGCAAATCAGACTTCTGATATACGTAATCACTCATATGATTGGTGCTGAAAAATTAATCAGTTAGATATTTGTACATACTTTTTGGATATCATCTTATATAAAAACATTTCAGTGAAGCTGGCTCGTGGGTTAAAACATATTTTTGTGTCCCTTTTGTATTTCTAGTACAAGATCTGATAAAAAGGTGTTTTAATCTCATGCACAATGCAAAGTAAAATGTAAATACAATTGTACATGTAGATAATAAATGAATAAAATTCTGAATTTTTGCATAATTCAAGACAAACTTCTTAACGACACAATTGGTGATTCTAAAATTTAGTTTAAAAAATATCTATTTTTTTTAATAAAGATTTATTTTTCTATCGTTCCATGCAAAGAATCGGGCATAAGAGTTTACAATATAATAATACAACCCTGCTGGTCTTTGTCCTTAATTGAGTATTTCCGTTCTCCAAAAACAGCCTAATTATCAAAGTACAAATGTACATATGCCAAGAAGTATTTGTATATATCATGGAGATTAACAAAATTACAGCGCCTCATGAATTTACAAAACTAATGATAATTGTACGATGTATATTCCTTAAAATTAAATATAAAAGGACAAGGTATGGTAACGGACTATCCTGGATACTTATCCATTTGTTATTTGATGTAAAAACCAGCACAATGTTAAAATTGTGATTGACTGTAGTTAAGAGCATAAAATGATGTTTGTTTTAAAACCAGCACTAATTTTGATTCAAATCTTGCATGGTGGCCACAAGAGGGTGCAGAAGTAGGAAATTTTCTCGAATTTTCTCAGTTTTGTTGTGAATTTCGTCATACTTGAGATACTTTTCTCTTTGGCAAATATAGAGCACAAGCTTGCCTATCTGAGATTTTTATACATAAAATGCATCTGATACTAGTGTATGAAATACATAAATTTGGTAGAAAGGCAAGTTTGTGTTCTATTTTTCTGAAACAACATGTCCTGTAAAATCCATGAAAATTTGCATAAAAATGTGAAAATTCGAAAATGGGCATATTTTCTTATCCCTTTGTGACCTATTTGTATTCCAATACTCATTTTGTAGCAGGGCTGATAACAGGTTTTTATTTAAAAACTGTTTCATCATTCTAAAAGACACCCCAAATCAGAGGCCTGAAAGGGGTATTAACCTATCTTCTCCTTTCTTTTAGGTTAAAATTTACCACTTACTTAAAAAAATAAACATTTATAATCAATACAAATGCTTATAACATTTCAACTCTTACTCTGGAAAACATCATTTAAGTTATCACATGAGAATGAATATATAACAAATGATGCTTATTCTGAAAAAAAAGGTTTTTTTCTTAGATTTTTCTTAATTAAAAAAATTGTGCACCATCCCACCTAATGTTTTAGAAGTCTCTGATCTGCTTCCAATTTGTATTGCTTCTGTGGACTTATGAGATTAAATAATTTTCTCGTTATCTACACGTTTAATGGTACTAAGGAAACATTCAAAACACTTACAATTTGACCGTGAGTTCCGTGTATGTCTTTAGGTTTCCGGATCCTTCACATTCAGTACATGATGCTCTGCCCTTACCGGAACATTTACCACATCTAAAATAAATAGTAGCAAAAAACATGAAAAATGAATCGAGAGCTCATCCCCATCTGAAAGGGGTCTTTTTAAGCGTCATGTACTATTCTGATCCAATAATACATACATTTTAATTCTCTCTCTCTCTCTCTCTCTCTCTCTCTCTGTCTCTCTCTCTCTCTCTCTCTCTCTCTCTCTCTCTCTCTCTCTCTCTCTCTCTCTCTCTCTCTCTCTCTCTCTCTCTAATGTTATTACAATGCTATGAACATAATTTAACACAAAATTATCCTCCCTACTTGGAGATTCGTAAATGACATGAAGGACAATTGTCTCTAGCATTGCTTCCCAATAGTCTGTCGGTTTCCCGATTGTTTGACCATTTACGGCAAGAACAGTCCTCCATACCAGAACCCCGACATCCCAAACACTGGATATTACCAAGTCCCATACATCTGTTGCATGGCTATAAGAAAAGGGAGGATTTTTTAATAGAAAGATTGTTAAAGGATTCTACAACTAATTAAGACGCTGTTTCTTTGGTCACAACGTAAAAAAGTGCAATACAATTTTTTTCCTACGGATAGTTATTTTTACCTAAAATTCTTCTAAATTTGTTATTTATGTTTTAAAAATTATAAGCTTAATTTCATAATTTCCTTGAATGCTGAGAAAACTTACTCGGACATATTCTGTATGAGGAATTTTCATTTTCTTTTCTTCATTATGGAATGTTTTGTCTGCCTTACAAAGCACATCCCATGGTGAGAGCGAAGGGCCGTTTTCGGGTCCATCAATTCGGCCTCCACGGTGCGGCACACGCTTGGATTCCGTTTTCCGAGTTTCAGTAAAAGTTTCTAATGTATACTGAAAAAGCATATATTGTATTTGTAACTCTTGATACAATTATATCTTAACAACTATTATTCAAACCTACTTTACATAAAGATTTAGAAAATATATGACATATATGTCCTTACATGATAAGCAGTTAAACCATTAATGTTTGTGATGGTCATTTCTTTTACTGCGTTGGATTCATAACAACAGCTTTCAGCAGCATAGTCGAACATAGCCTCCTTACATGCCGCCTTATCAAGGTTATCAATGCTGAAAAAAGAGGGAATACTTTAGATACTCCAAAAGAATTTAATTTTAAAGGCATTTATGAACATATATTTTTTTCCATTAATTGTTTAAGGAGTTTGATTGTTCTTAATTTTCATTAAATAAATTACAAAATAAAATTTATGCAAACTTTTCAAACTTCATGGCCTCAGATTGTACAGTTTGTGGTTCCTGATGAGTTGGAAAAGGAGGAGGGGGTATTAAAGCCACTGAAATATTAGTAGAAAATTTTAAATATGTTAAATTGGTAAAAGACTTTTAAAATTTTGTGGAATTTTTTGTGAGATATCTTATGGATTTTCAAAGATTTTGAGTAAAAAAAAGATGGAAGACTTACTTTTGTGCAACAAAGATATAGCAGATATTTTACAATGAAAAGCACTCACTCCCTCTCTCTCTGTGCTTGCTTTACATATCTGTATTCACTGAGAGCTTTTTTATCTAACAAATAAGATTTGTTTGATAACCCTAATTATTGATAAGCACTTCCTAATTGGTAAAACAAAGTTCCTGATGAATTGGAAGTATTTGAAAAAGTGCTGTTTTTATTGAACATTAAATTATTTTTGAGAGGTTTTACGTAGTATTCAAGGAAGAAATGACACAATGGTGCATTTTTAATTTTAATTTTTTATTATTTTTAGATAAACTGTTGACAGATGTGCTCTTTACAAAATCTAGTGCTCAAAAAATATATAATGATTTTTTTACAGTATTTTACGAAGTCTATATTAATGCTACATGTAGAAGACTACTTTTCCACAATTTCTTTTCCTCACAGAAAGCTTATTTTTCTACTTTCATGAGTTAATATATACTCTAAAATAAAAAAAAATTCTGATAAAAAATGATATTCTCAAACATCGTATATGGATTTGGAATATGAATCGATGTAATTATTCTTAATTTGAACATCTAAGATATTTTTTACTCCATTTTACACACAATATGACTACAGACATTATTTCGTGTATTGTTTTATTTATTGAATTATTAATTTTGTCTTGCTCCATGATTCGATTTTTGGATTTTTAAAAAAAATCTTGATAAAATTTAAATAATTAAATCTTGATATTTTACAAACTTTTAACGCAAATTAATTAAATTTATTGTTAAAATATTTCTACCAAATTTTGATAACATGACTTCAAATGAAAAACTAGAGGTACTGTGAGCAATGAGCTCACTAAATGATACCCCCGCCTCCCATAATGTCCATGTGTTGCTATATACTAGTATTGTTTTACGGTAATTTGTATAGGGGAATAACTCGTCCTATCAAATGTTATCCAGAAGCTTCTATATGTGACGTCATAGGTGTAAACATATAATGGCAATGTCCATGTTTTGCTATGGGAAACCTAAAATACGTGTCGAATAAAAAAGTAAAGTAGGAGGTGCACAATGGCAATATGTAATAAAGATTCTGTGAAAGTTTCATTTAATTTTGCTCAGTAGTATTAGAGGAGTTGCGGATAAGAGATAAAGCGTAACAGACGGACGGACGGACGGACGGACGGAAATCCCGATTACTATATACCCTCCCACTTTTCAAGCGGGGGGTATAAAAATATATGACATAAAAATATATGACATGAAATATATTGAGATAATGAACAGTATTCAAAATCAGAGGTCCATGGTCCAAAAACGTTTCAAACATCCCTCGTAAATGGTATTAAAAAATTTATCAGATTAATCATTGTTCGTTATCTTCACTGCTTAAATGAACTCACAATCAAATGAGTTTTCTTCTCTTATTTAACAAATTGAGGAAGTGTAAAAAAAAAAATAAACGATAATACTTGTGCGAAATGATGTAACAAAAATTGATAAGCATCATATTGAAACAGGAAATGTTCAAGTATTTTCTTTTAAATTCGTTCGTTTTTTTAAATATAAAAATAGAAGGAGAAAACATCGACACTTAAAGAAATACACATTAATTTTACGTTCTAATATGTCTGCAACGAAAACCCATTGAGCTCATTTTCGTAGGTTAAAAAAATATTTGTTTAGCTCAATAGGCTTTCGTAATTTGCAAACGCTATATAGGCTTTCGTAGTTTGCAAACGCTATTAAGCACAAAAAACATGACTTATAGTAGGAGGAGATCATATCTCAGCTACACACAAGGGAAAAGTACAACCCCCCATTCACAATCCCATTATTATACCCCCTCCAACTCTGTTTCGAGGGATAGTAAATTGAAATAAAGATCTATTGCTTATTTTAAAATCATAGAAGTATTTAATACCTAATATTTGGCTAAGGAAGATTTTTTTACTCTTTCTTGAAGGCAACAGTGATACTTTCAAACGTTTATGTTTTGAAATATTTCGTTTTGTCTTTACAACTAAACACTTTCTGGAGAAGGGGTGAAAGAGGTTGATATTCATATTGAAAATGCAACAAATAAATTCAATATTCACACCTGCTTCCTCAATATTTAAAAAAAAAATTGCCATTACTGCAAAAAGTCCTTTTAATGACAAACTTATTTTTAATACCATAAGTTTCCTTGTTTGGTAAATCAAAATCCGACAAATTTAACTTTCAATTCATCACAGTTTATCAATAATTTGTCCTGGTATTCGCAAATATGTTGAGACGTTTCTATTTCAATATTTTGGAAACATATAATTATTTTGTGATTAGTCTTTTGATAAACAGATTAAGGTAGGTATGCCAAAAACGTACATTTCTTCATATATAACAGTCCAAATGCATTACTATATGTAATTATATTGAAAAAATCTGTCGTTGGTTTAGTAATGGTGCATATGAGTGTGACGTAGATTATCAGCAGGTTGGCGAAACATGTATTAGTAGGTATAGATGATTTTAGAAAAGAATATTTGAATGCATTTGCTCTCTAGTTAACTCCGTTTGGAAATTTCTGTGCTTATAAAGATTTAAGAGGGCTGAGTGGTTGTGGCCATTTTTAGACTATATTGATCTCCTTTAAAAGAAGAGCTCCATAAAAGGATTTGCTGATCCCCAGCCTTCTAAAAAGATGAAAAACATTGGCATGTGAAACTTTCTACTACACAGAGTGCCCGCCAGGGAGTTTTGGACAGAATTGCTCGCAAAAGTGTAAATATCCAACATATGGTTTATTGTGTGGTGGGACTTGTGACTGTTTACCTGAAGAATGTAATAGCAAATCTGGATGTATTAAATGTAGAAACCAATAAACATTTTTCTCAGATATTTTGCAAATTATTTTAATATAGGATTCTGCATCAGGTCACAATGCACAGAATGTACACAGTAAATATTCATACAGGCTTTGTGTAACATTCTTGAAATAAGATTCTTAAAAATTTTTCAAATATAGTGTATATCTATGTAAAACTTGGATTCCCTATGTGGCCCCGCCGTACATGATTTTAACAATCTAATATCAAAAATAAAAAAAAATTAAGGAAGAAACAATTTGTAACAATTTTTAAAATCATTTTTTTAATCATTACTTATATCAATTCAATTTTTTCAACTTTTTAGAATCACATGGATGTTCTGTAGGGTAAGATGTGCTTATGTATTTTGTGTTTAACATTTTTTTTTTAATTTTAAATAGAATATTACTGGAATGTATGAATTTTATTTATTCATTTGTTTAACTGTAGAGTTCTTGAGGATATTAATCAAAGATGTTGCTCTTATCATCGGAAAGTAAATAAGTGGTGAAAAAGTCCATGTTTTCCTGTGGCCGGGAAACCCAAAATATGTGTCTAATATCAAAAAGTAAAATAGGAAGTGATTTGTAATAAAGATTTTTTGAAAGTTTCATCAAAACTTTCATTCAGTGGTATGAGAGGAGTTACGGATAAGAGATGTGGTATTTTGTGTTTAATAAGCGTAACATTTTACGGACAGACAGACGGACGACGGACGGACTATTTAGTTTTACTGGACGGACAGTGGATATTAACGATTACTATATACCCTCCCGTATAACAAGCGGGGGGTATAATAATACTTGTGAAGGTAATTTTAGTTTATTTTTTTGTTTTCACTGGTATGTAGATCTCACTTTTAATATGAAAAAAAAATCCATATGAACATTGAAAATAACATTATCCTAAAGGCTACCTAATTTGCGATCTGAAAATAACAAGAATTGTTTTTTTTTCTTTTTAAGCTTGTCCTAATGGTTATTTTCAGTCAAACTGTACTCCATGTCCCTATCCATATTATGGACATTTATGTGCTGCAACATGCAATTGTTCGCAATCTTATTGCAATCACGTGACTGGATGTCATTTTATTACAGGTACTCAAAAACTTTTAGAAGTTAATCATTTCTTATGTATAAAATGATAATAGTTCATGTATAAAACTACTTATGTAAGATGATCATCATTTTCTTTTAAATTCTCACGAACACGTATGATACAATCAAGAATCGATACAATGTTTCAGGAGGAACAGGACCTTTAGCTGAAAAAAATCCTGTCAATGAATTTTTTTCGTATTTTTTATATTACTAATTTAATATGTACTTAACATTTTGAAACGGTCCTGTCATTGGATTTCTGTTTTACTACCGCCCTGTGTAGAGTTTGTATGGAGTATTAATACATGTTTACGGGCCCATAACGGAGTCCATCATCGAATTTTTACGCACAAACGATAAATATTATAGATAACACTATATACTCAAATACTGAAGTATTTCAGAATTTTCATAGTGTTTAAATTATCTGAAAGCAATTGTTTTAATTCTATATAGCATTTGGGTGGGATAATTTCTGCATTTTCAAGGCAGCTTCAACGACAAAAACCTCATTGGGAAAAAATTCTGTCAATAAATATTTCTAAATTTACGATTGAATGTCAGTCCTTCATCGTAATTATTTACTGCATAAATATAAAAATAAATATCGCACAGGACATCGTTGAATTAGACATAAGCATGATAAAAACGCTTCACGTTTGTATTTTCCGAGGGCGGGTAATCAATTGTGACGTCACACGAAAACACAAATATTCAAAATTATCTACATAGAGAGAATCTCTGCTACTAAAAACGAAAAAATATTGATTTAAAAAATCTGCTTCAGAAATTTATCACGATACATTGACTGTGACCTGTTTATTATGAAATAAAAGTGATCATGGCGGGTGTGTGTACTTGATTCGCTGCACTCAAAATTCAAACACTACGTTTGACGTCAACGTCAAACTGCAGGGTAAAGAGAAACAAATGTGTGGATTGAATAGCAAGATCTTTAAAAATTTTGTGAATAAAATTTCTAATTAAAGTTTAAAAAACAATTTTAGAATTTAGAATAAAATTACACAAGAACTGTTGATTTTAACAACGTTTAACATGTATATCATTATGACGTAATATGTCTTTTTAGTCATGTGACAGGTGCCCTGTCTCCCCTTAAGTTACCCTTATTGCATCAGGAGCAAACTAACTCTCCTTTATTGAATACAAGGGTTACCAGGCAAAATCGTGGACAAAGCGTTTTTATCGAAAAATAATGGCGCACTAAGCTTGAATTTTCAGCAATAGGTATTCAGCGTATTACATGTATCTGTGTTTACAACATTGGGTTTTCATTTAACTTTAAGTTCCAACTCTTTTATATACAAATCATTTCTCTTAAAAAAATATCTATAGATATATTTATATGCGTATAATCTCTGAAATACAGATTAAGAAATTAAGTTCCAATCATAAAACAATCCATTGAAAATAAAGGAATTTTGTGTTGCTGGTCCTGTGTTTATCTATAAGTTTCTATGTGTTTTTAAAAACATGAATTATAATTTTAATTTGATCTTACTACCTAGCTGACAACTGTGCAATATGAAGCATTGACGTTTAGAGTCTCATCTATGTGCTTGGATTTGCTATTATCTTGTACTATACCATGAATGTTGATACATTAAGAAGCTGTTCAATCTCTTTCTAAATATACATCACTCATTTAGTTTCTGTCTCTCAACACCACCAAACAACGCTAAGGAAAACCATTGAAGATTCTAACTTCACAATTTCTCATCTACCAATTGCAAATATAGACCATTCAAAGAGATTTGTCATCATTTCAGTCGGGACAGTAGTGATATGTATGGTCATCTTATGTATTGTCTATGAGATGCGAGTATATCGAAAATATTTGCATAGAAATGACATGTCAAATGAAGAGCAAACCGTTGAAGGCGTTTATGCGGATCTTATTGAAGTTAATGTTGAAGATAATATATAGTGGAGAAAATTGAGACTGCCAATGAAGAGTTCATTCTTACTAGAATAGGAACTTACTGTGGTTTTTCTGTTGTCATTTTTAAAAAAAATGTTTTATATATTAAATGAAAATGCTTGTTGCCTGCAATTGCAAAGGAATGTTTTCATTTTAACATTTAAAATTCCTTTTACGGAAAAGGAGCAGTTCATAGGCAAATTAGTCTCATCTGTTACGACTCGCAACACTTAAACAGGTGTGTTTTTTAATCAGGACATTTTTTTGGATTGCATTTATCTTTTTTGATAACTATAGCTGTATAATATAACATATGAGGGGTTATCAAAAAGTAAGTGGACTAGCGCCATGAAATTAAAACCGATTGAGGTTTCTTCCATTTTGCTTTTCCTCATAATATTCACCTGGCTTGGCATATTTTTGAAAAATATATTATATTATTGTACACTTTTAGCACCAAGCTAACATATTCTGAAATTTTTTTTCATCTGTAAACCTCTACTGAGTGTGATTTTTCCATATTTTTATTGAAACAATAACTAATATTTTTCAAGTCATTTTCATTTTCCAAGTCCAAGGAATACTGTTCATTTTCTCGATATATTTCAAATATACATATAAAAATGCACATTATTTTAATGAGTTTTATTTTTTTGGAAAAAAAAAAAATAAATCCGACCTAATTTTGCGTTAAAAGAGAAATACAAGTTCAAATATATCACGAGTTTGCAATCTTAGTCCGGCAAATATGGTTTTCACTTTTTAAAACAACAATATTATTGATGCCTTATAACTAAACATTCCTTACTTTCAAATATGTATTGTAATTGCCATTTATTATGATGTCAGAAAACTTAAAAGAGGGTACTAGTTTTAATACAAGCTATGCCAATTCAGTAAAGTTTGTTTAAGAATAAATAATAATAGTAATAAATGATGATTTTTACCTTCAGGTGTGAGCCTTATTTGGCAATATTTTTCTGTCGGTAGGAACAACTTCATTTCTTTTGAGAATTCATAAATTTTCCAACTTCTGGAAGATATGGTCTTCCCATAATCTGTCGAAATTCCCGTGGATACCAGCTGTGCTTGGTTAGTACAAGACCTTATTCATATTTTGCAAAATTTATCCAAAGAAGAAAACGCTTGTTGTGACCTTCATCTTAACATTTAGATACTAGTATACCGACGAGCAATTAATAATTAACAATTGTTACTTTCATTCATACTCTAAATCAATATATCCCAGAGAATTTGAAATAAACGATATCACTGAATCCTCCAAATCTTTTTTTTTTCAAGAAAGAAATGTCTATGGTAGCCTATATACAAAATGCATTATAAATTACTTCAACTTTTCTTTTCCTAGTTTCCCTTACAATGTTCTTAAGTCTCAATATACCCTTAACACCTGCATAGATGGGGCTTGTGTCTCCCAAAAGCAATTTCTTATACGATGCAAGCTATTGAAAACAATTGCAAGTTAATAAATGACTAAAGAATATCAACAGTCTCGTTTTAAAATCATCATTTTGCAAGTTCCAAAGTCGATTCAGTGACTCTGTATGCAAATACAATCTATCATTAAGTTGAATGCTGACTTTTTCATACAATTTGTTAGACTATTACATGTATTTACTTACTGAATTATTATATGGATTTTTAGTTTGTTTTTCTTTTCCCTCGAACATGACAAGGAATGCTCATTCCTCCATGGCATCTCAGATATGATGTTTTAGAGTTTCGTTTTGTTCTGCTCCATATTTGCATTTTTGAATGATCTCGAGTTTGATTACTGTTTTTATATCTGTATTTTATAACATGAAGCTTAACAGACTGTAAATTAGAACAACTTGATGTCATTTAAAATATAAGAAACACAGAAGTTTACGTTACAGTTATATTTTAAAGGAGATACTAGTACATGTATGTAAACGCTTTGCATAAGGTCCGAATGTTAAAAAAATTCGATTAATCACCCTACATATTTATTTTAATGAATACATTTTTTTATTAATTTGGTCAAAATCTCAAGATCTCATGCGCATGCACGTGTGCTTCGTTCTGATTGCCTGAAACTAAAGTCTCAGTATCTTTCTTGCTTTTGACAAAGTATTTTGAAATTTTGAACATGGTCATACAATATCTACAGCATGGTATATAAGAATTATCATGAAAGCATGCGCATGCACATGTGCTGTAATCTAATTGGCTGAAACTTTAAATGCCAATAACTTTCTTAGTTTTCAACAAAACGGGATGAAATTTAGAATATGAATAGGTATAATGGATTCGTACATTATAATACTATGAAAACGAGAATGCATGCACGTGTGGTTGATATCATTGTAGCTTTTATAGTTCTTTTATGAAATCCTTCAATACGGATCATATTTTTAAAATGTCTTACAGGAATTAGGCACAAAAGAGGGAGTTGGGGAGCGTTTGGGGAACATCTGTAACACTAGTTCCAAATAATATTACTAACATGACTAATTTTCAATTCTGAAAATTGTTCAGATTGAGTATTTGATAGATATACAGCAATAAATGTAATCTTCAATTAGAAAACAAAAGCAATATTCTGCAAACTGAAAAAATATAATCTGTATCTAAATTTGTTAAGATATAAATTATTGACTTGCTGGACTGATTCTTTAAATACAGGTACTACTGTATAACTGCACTTATCTTCTTCCCGGAATATAAAACAATTTAAAAGAAAGGACAAGAATGCAAAAAATTGAAATGCTTGGAGATGTTTATTTGAAATAGGAAAAACCAAATATTTAAAGAAATATAACAAATATAGAAAGCACTCACAAAGAAGCAGTTAAAGTATAATATGAAACAAAAGATATTTGTACTTGTCAATTATATGTATTTTTCTGAATCAATAGCACAGGTATAATTATATTAAAATATACATGTATGTTTTTCAATACCATTCAATAAAATATTTCATACGATTACGTAATGTAAAATATGTATAATTTGTAAACACAGGCACTAAACATTCTTATTAAAGAATACATGTACCCGATTGTCAACGAAAATTTTAATATTAAGTATTTCAACATGATGAGTTCAAAGATATACTTGTATACTGAAAAAAATCCCTTGATCTAATTAAAATGAATCGTAAAATAATTGAATGTTTGATCTCAAATATTTTTTCTAATAAGTAAAGTATTTATTCAAATTTATAATCTCAATTAAAATTATTGCGTTTCAATAATAATATCTTGAAGTGCAGATAAATAAGTTTTAAAAAATTTCATAAGTATATTGCTCTCAAGTATATTAGTGATGAAATATTCTGAGACTAACTTATTGCTATTTCAGTGTTTTGAGCAACTTCTGATAATAATTCATATACAGTAGTATAGATAAATAACATCAATTTGATCACCTAATTTAAACTTGATGGTGCTGATATAAAATAGAGATGATGTGAAAACAGAACAAATGGATTTTACGCAGAACATAGCCTTCATACCAACAAGAAAGAGACACGGTTAGTAAATTGAATTACATTATATATCCTCACGAATGTCTATAATAGCATATTCCTAAAGTTAATAAGGTATTCATTTGGCAACATTGTTAGATCATTCTCTCACTCAAAGAATGACTAAAGATATTTTTTCTAACATCCATAATTTCACATCAAACAGAGTGATAATCCACATAAGGTAATTCACCATTTTAATTCATGAATTCAAAAAAAAAACATCAGTATTAAAACGTTTTTCAGGAAGTAATAAAAAAAAGTAGGATATCAAAATTATAACTTAGTTTAAAACACTTTCTTCAGAAACAACAAAATAAAAAAAAACAATACAAGATAACATTTGTTTTGAATGACTGGGTATTCTAAGCCCCCCTGAGTGGATTTTGTTGCAAGCCGTTTACAGAATGGTACAGCCCCAGCAGCACTGTTGTGGGTAGTCTGGGGCATGGACCTTCCTCTCCAGACCGTAGATCCAGTAACGTGTACTAACGTCCTCCCACGTATAGTGGACCTCAGTCACCGGAACAGCACGCAACTGTTGTCTCTGTTAATCAAAAATGCTTTCAGACTCAGATGTATGTCATTTTCTTTTTCAAATTAGAAGAATCTACTGATCATCATTATCCAAAAATATCAATATTGCATTTTTTTTTAACTTGAGTGCTACGATACTGCAAAGAATCTTTCTTACGGTTATAATGTCGTTATCCTTCATTTATGGATAAACATAATAGCATGTTTTGGTTTATGTACTGATAAGCTTTAATTTTCAAAAACTTCATTTCCAGCACAAGCATTATTAAACGTAAAGGAGGATCTGAAGAATATGTTATGTTTTAGATTTATATTCCTTGAGAGATGGCATCATAAAAACACCTGTCAAAATTTACTGAATGATAGAGGAAAGTACCTGTTTTAGCATTCTCTCATTTGGAAATGCTCCCTTGTGAGAATTCACGATCCTGATAGAATTGTTGTTAATCTCAGCGATTGGGTACGATGTTATTGGGAATACCTATAAATAAATAAATAAATACATAAAAAAAAGTAATAAATAAATAAAAATGATTGATATAAATATTCAAATTGAAGATAAAGCAGATAAACCTAATATTCACACCTCTTTCCTCAATATCTAAAATATTTTCCAATACAATGCAAAGAATACTGTCTATGACAAAGTTATTTTTAATATCATAAGTTTCCTTGTTTGGTTAATTAAAATCCGACAAATTTTTAACTTTCATTACTTCACAGTTTATCACTCAATTTCATGGGATTTTCATTTAATGATGAAACTTTTCTGTTTCAATATTTTGAATACATATGATTATTTTGTGATAAGTCTTTTGATAAACAGATTAAGGTAGGTATTCCAAAAAACCTACAAATTATTCATATATGCATGACTGTCGAATTGCAGTATTACATGTACATGTATATGTATTTTTATTTCTAAAATAAAATTTCGTTGGTGTAGTAATGGTGCATATCAGTGTGATGTAAA